CAGAAAGGTAATTGCGAAAAAATAAAATCTGTATAGATTCCCCTGCCCAGCTGAGAACCCAAGCATTGCTGCCTGTGTCAGCTCTAAAAAAAAAGGAGGTAAAGAATGTTCTTTCATTGTCTGAAGTGAGGGACACGCACAAAGCAAACAAAAGGACTGAGGAAATTAGATTTTAAAAGTACTTTCAGCCGCAGTGGTCTGAGGAGCTCCAAGTGCCCAGCGCAGCCGGGCGGTGAGTGTGTCCTGGGGACGGTAGGGGAGTGGCACCGTAACTGAAATTCCTCTCTTCCCCTCCCAAACCCATTACGCCAGGAATTTTTCATTATAGACACCTCTCCTCCCATCGTTTACTTTTCTTCAGTTCCTTCATCTGATGTTTTCCCCCCGGGACTCCCACGAGAAGTGTGGCATCTCTCAGAGAGCATTCGGGGTGAATGTGGGTTTCGGGCCCTGCTTGTGCTATTTGTTCCCTTCCTACCCCTTGCTCAGGGCACCCTCTCCCTCGCCCCATCTGCCAACCCTTCTTCCCCTGACTTGGCTCCATCCCTGCTCCTGAATTCTGACCAGTTGGTGGAAGCCTGAGCACACGGGTGGGTGGGCATGGACAGGGCCCCCCGTCAAACTCAAGGTCACTGCCTTCCTGTTGAATATGCCCTTGAGAACACAGATGACATTTCTTAGTGTGAAAGTGCGATGATTGCATTCATTAGTATATATAAAGTTTGGAATTCTGGATTAGCCAATTGTGCATTTAAGCTAAATGGTGAAGGAACTTTTGAAGCAGAGCCCAGCCTCTGCCCTGAGTACTGAAAGCGTGGCCCTAACTGAGATCGTCACCTGTCATTGCTCTCTTTCCTTAATAGTGCTCGACTCCTTCCTCTGAGCTCGCCCCTCTCTCAGGGACTTCCTGTGTCACACCGCATCCCTCTGAACCTCCCCAGCCCCCCGGCCCTACACTGTAAGTTAAGTCTGCTGACGGGCAGGTTGAACAGCACAGGGAGTCTAATTTACAATAAGCCCCAGGTGTCCCTGAACTCACGCGAGGTGCCCTGGTGTGAGCCACCCCCTGAGTCTTGCTCTCTCTGCAGAAAGCCAGCCGACCTGCACAACCTGGCCCCCGGCACCCACCCGCCCTTCCTGACCTTCAACGGGGATGTCAAGACGGACGTCAACAAGATCGAGGAGTTCCTGGAGGAGACTCTGACCCCTGAGAAGTAAGGAGCCGTTTATTTCCTCAGCTAAGGATGGGGAGGGGGCCTGTGGGAACTGAAACTATCAGTGTTCCCTCTGAGGAGGCAGATTCCAAAGGACCCTCATTGATTGGGAGCGCAGGACCCTCTTTTCAAAGAGAGAGTCTGGGCGCCCCTGCTCACCCCCTCCACAAAGTGCAGCTCCAAGAGTGGGTGCCCCTGTAATGGAGCAGGCCACTCCCCCTAATCAGGATGACTTCAGGAGCGCTGGGAAGTTAGCAGCCCTCCATCTCTCTGTCCCCTGTCCCTCTGTCCCCCTAAAGAAGTCCTCTCTCCACTTCGTTTTGCCTGGAAGACCCCCCAAGTGAGGGCAACGTTTCCCTCATTTCAGAAGGAGAGCTGAAGGCTAATGAAATGAAAACTAGCCAGGAGAGAGGCAACCTATGACTTAAAACCACACCAAGGTGTAAGTGAGTCGTAAATCCGACCAGGTCTGGTCTGAGCTGGTAATTAAATATGAGAAAACCGACCGAAAGCAGCATCTCTTCTGAAAATGAGCACAGGGAGGGGAGAGGCCAGAGGCTAGAGGTTCCGCCGGGCGAATGAGCTGCTCCTGGTGGGAAACAGGAGTAAAGAGGAGGCAGAGGCAGGTGAATTCTAAAAGTCTCTGGAAACTAGACTTGTTCATTATACTGAATTGTAATTGGGGATTAAAACAACCTCAAAAGGTTTTTTTGTTTTTGTTTTTTAATAGAAAAATAATATTACATATAGAGTTGGGATTTTATCCTGTAGGTTAAATGGAAAAGTTCTAAGCACAAGTGCTGGAGAGTCAGTTTTCAGGCTTACTTGTGGGGTGGGGGTTCCTGGAGGTAAGAGGGACAGAGGATAGAAGAGTTGGAGGTGGAGGGATCAATTGGGAGAGCCCTGGTGTGTGGCTCAGCTGGTTGGAGCGTTGTCCTGTACACGGAAAGGTCTCGGGTTCAATTCCCGGTCAGGGCACACACCCAGATTTTGGGTTCGACACCCCACCTGCCTGGTCAGGGTGTGTGCATGAGGCAACCAATGGATGTTTCTCTCTCTCCCTCTCCCTTCCTCTTTCTCTAAAATTAATTTTAAAAATATTTAGGTAAGGATTAAAGAAAACAAAAGAAATTAATTGGGAGAAGCTAATTGGTGATGGTCCAGGTAAGACAGACTGGCGGGCTGAGCTATGCAAGTGACAGTGACATGGAGGAGAGGGGTAGGAAGGATTCGGGAGATACTCAGCAGGTAAAGCCTGTGAGACTTTACTAAAAACCACCATCTTGCATTTATTTTAAAGTTATATTGATTTATCAACACTTATATTGCCTTCATATTGCCCTTACTTTGTGCACCCCAGGAGATGGGAAATCATCCTCACTTTAGAGTTGGGGAAACTGAGGCTTGGAGAGGTTGAGTAACTTGCCTAAGATCATACATCTAGCAAATCATTGTGAAAACTCCCAGTCATGTTTGGATTAAGACTTGAACATGTATAAATTCTTCTTTAAAAGTATCCTTTGTTACCCAGATTAGAGCAATTAACTTTCACACTAAGAATGGGACCAGGCTCACTGGAAGTAGCTGAGTGTGGACTTTAAATAAGTACATTAAGCAAATTAGCTGAGCAGCCCCACCCATAACACCCAGCTCAGCCACTCAGGTCTCTGAACAGGACATAGACCACTTTGCTGAGAGGGGCCCCAGGGGGCCCAGGCGCTATTCCTCTCCCTTGGGACTGGGCCTTATGGTTGGCACTGGTTTCTTAGGAGGGAATGGGGAATAGAAACAGCGAGGAGCACAGTGCCCCTCGTGGTCCTTTGCCAGGCGGGATGGATGGAAGTGTGTAGGGGCTGGGCTGAGCTGAGCCTGGACACCTCGGGCCCACTGCTGATTCTGTCAGTGATGTGCTATGACCCCTTGAACCAGATCCTCTCCGCTCTGGGCCTCAATTAGCTTCCTCTGTGAAAAGGTGACCCCAGAGCCCTTTCTGCTCTCAGATTCTTCACCCCCATCCTTGCCAGGCCCCCAGTCCAGCTGTGCCTTTCCCAGCTGTTTCTCAAACTCGGAGGTCTCCAGTCTACATCTACAATGGGACTAAGGGGGCCCATGTGACCCCTGGAAGTGTATGCCCCTCGTGTGTGAGTACAATCTTCCAGAGGAGGGCCATCATCAGATTTGTTATTATTTCATCAGATTCTGAAATGTCCATCACCCCAATAGAGCTAAGATGTCTCCTCCCACCTCCCGTCCACCCACGTTACCTGTCCTGAGTTCTACAGCCTCTGGTCTGGGTCTTTTTCTGGACTGCATTTGTATGTAGGAGCTTTTACTAAGTGCCTTCCTGCCACGTCAGTGGCCCCATCACCCACAACACCCAGCTAGCAGAACCTTGGAACTGTTAAAACACATACAACTTCAGAAGGCCGCCAAGGTGGGGGCCCTAGTGATGAGACCATTCACCATTCCAGAGCCCTCAGGAGTGTCCCTCAGATGCCTTGGTACAGGTCAGACTGGGGCACATGCCACAGTTACTTCCCGGTATGTGTCACCAAGCCAATGCCACAATCCCACAACGGGAGACCCGCCTTTCTGCCTACAACAAGCCACCAGCCTCTGCCGGCTTCCCACTGACCTGAGATGGGAGGTTGGTGGCCTGAGTCCTGAGGTCCTGGAGGAGCACAGCCTGACCTGGCTCTGCAGGGGGCAGCAACTCCCCCACAACTGTTCAGGGAGCCCTGGTCGGCCATGTGTTTCTCATCACTCCGCTGTTTGTAAAAGCTGCCAGAGAGCCAAGAAATTGTGGGAGACTTTTTCCCCTTAGCTTTATTTTTTAAAGGAAAAAAACACACACATACAAACACTCCAACAATTTTTAAAAATAATCACATTTGGTCCCACAAAGCATTTGGTGTTGAAATGAGGAACCCAGGAAGTCTCAAACAGTCTCTAAATTAGACTAACTTCCATTCCTTTCCTTAGACTGACCCAGTTAGCACTCAACAGGGAGGCACTGGGACTAGCACTGGTCCTTACCTGTGACCTCTGTGGAATGGCCCAACTGATAGGACTCAGAACCCAGAGTCAAGAGACCTTACTCCGGCCACCCTTCTACAGTGTGTCTTACAACCTTGGACAAGCCCCTGTCCTGCTCAGACCCTCCCAATTTTCTCATCTCTGAAAGGAGGGGGTGAAACTACCTGGTCTGTAAGATGCTTTTCAGCAAAAGTTCTGTGATTCCATGAGTTTTTCTAAGTGCTTTTCCAGAGCTGATTGTTGTTTTAAACAACCCTGCTGTATAGATGCTGTGATAAAAATTCAGTGGGGAGCAGTAAACTGATTGTTTAGTTACATGGCACAGCATGCAGTTAGTCAACTAGCAAGATATTACTGAGAGTTAACAAGGTTCAGAACACTGCCAGAGTTGGAAGACACTTTGAATTCATTATTTTAAGAAATGTTTACAGATATCTCAGAAGAATATTCTTCTAACCCTCTGGGAGATGGAGAAACAGCCTCAATACCAAAGACCGAATGGCATAGTGGCTATGAGTATAGACTTTGGAGTCAGAAAAATGAGTTCTAATCTGCACCACTAGGTTGTGCTGCAGTAACAAATTAGCCGCAAGATCTCAGTAGTTGAGCAGAACGTGGCTTTATTTCTCACTCATGCAACAACGGAATGGGTAGTGTGGCCCTCTCCCATCTTTAGCTCTTGGAATACATTTCCTTCAAGGCTCCTTCAGCAGGGAAAGAGAGAGAAAAAAGATCATGCAAAAATGATCTTTTAAGGGCAAGGGCTGTGAGTGGTTACATCACTTCCCCTCCCATCCTATTGGCGACAATCCAGTCACATGACCCCAACCTCACTGAGAGGGAGAAGCTGGGAAATGCAGAGAAGCACATAGATACTTACTGACCATGAGTGGTCTCTGCTACAGGTAAATTACTTAATTTAAAAGTGTATAATATTTAATTCTCACATCTATAGAATGATGACTATAATGTTGATCTCGAGGGACTATTATAGAAGATAGTGCTGCTTAGCCTAGTGATGGACATCGAGTAAGAGCTCATTAAATAGCAGCTTGAAGAGTTAGAAAAAGAGATTGGTTCCTCTTTTGTGACTATCTCCCAGATCCACTTATAAGGACAATTGGTGAGCTTGGATCTTAAAACCACAGATCCCAGTGGGTGTCTTTTAATGAATAAGCTAGATTTCGTCTACCTCCAAGGCTCATTTTCTTAAGCAGCAGAGACAGAACAAGGCAAGCACACAGTCAAGGAGCAGAAGAGTCAGAAGCATTTACTTGCTTCTCAAGTGAGGCTTTGGTGAGGCGAGGAAGTAGGAATAATGAAAGGACAGAGGGGAAGTCCATCCACTTTTCAGCTCATTAGAAAAAGGGAGGGTCAATGCTCAAGCTGCTCAGGAGCCCCTGAAATCAGCACAGGTCACTCCATGAGGACAGGAAGACTGACTGACTCTTTTTCTCCAGTGTAGTCCCAACATCAGAGTCAAGGCCTGACCCCTGGTAGGCGCTTACTGCATGTTGATTTAATTGCACTGGGGCCCTTCTGTTCAGTGGCATGGCGATCAATGTCTATAGTCAATGAGAAGCCAGTTGGGACTCCAGGCCAGTCAGAGCACTTCCTTCTGCAATCATATATATATTTTTTGCTACTATTTACAAAAGAAAGGTTTATTTTTGATGAGAGGCCAACTGTTTTACTTCCAAGAATGAAGCTTAAGTGCATGTCTAAGATGAATGCATTTGAAATAAGATATCTTAAAAAGAGTAGAGAGAAATTTTCATTAATTAAAGGAGAGTTTGGCAAACTTTGCTGTAAAGAGCCAGACAGTGAGTATGTTCAGCTTTGTGGGCCATATAGTCTCTGTCACAACTCCAGTCTTATAAAGCGAAAGCAGCCATAGACAATGGGTAAATGAACAGACATGACTGTGTTCCAATGTAATTTTATTAATGAATACTGAAAATTGAATTTCATGTTATTTTCACACGTCACAAGATAACATCCCTCTTCTGATTTTGTTTTGATCACGTAAAAGTGTAAAAACTATTCTTAGCTCCTGGGAGGTACATAAGCAGATGTTGGGCTGGACTTGGCCTATTGGCTGTAGATTGCTAACCTCTGAGTTAGAGACATTCACCGTTCCCTGACTGTCACCAGGCCACATCGCAACCTTATTTCAATGATGTTTCTATGAATGAAACACTATTCTCTAGCCTTTTGGAAAAAGGGAATGGACTCTATAGCCCACTTATTGCATATTTAAAATATAGTGTAAATATGGAGCTAAAATAAATATGCTTAATATCCTGTATAGTAACCTCCCCAAATCTAGTTACCAAAATCTGTGAGGTTAATATTTGAAGACACAGTTCCCATAAGGACAAACTTCAAATGGGACATTATGCTATACAGCAAGGTCTCAGTTAGTTCTAGTGCTTAGAAAACAGCGCTACCGAGGTCTCCCTGAACATGTAGCCCTTTGTCATCCATTGTGGATTGGGTACCACCACCCATGTTTGGCTCATACTGATCATGAAGAAATGATCAGATTACTGGAAGTGTGAACAAATGAGGACATTAAAAAAAACCTAACAAACCCAAACCCAAATGAAAATGCAATTTCTAGGCCCTCCTCTCTTTACATTATTACCTTATCAAGCAAAAACAAAGCATTTGGCATATATTAATAACGTAAGGCAATCAATTCTAAGAGCATGCCAGATTCTATGTGCGAAGGTAAAAATAGGAAAGGGTTTTCCTAAATTCCCATGTCTTGGTAGATTACTTAGCATCTTGCAGTAAAGCTTGTTTTGTGCCTGCAATCAGAGCAGATGAACTTGATAATTCCCGGTACACTCAGGAAGACAGGCATGTGTGCAGAACCCATGCAGAGCGCCCCCTCCTGGTGGATGGAGAGAGTTCAGCCACGGTGTTCTGCCAAGCCTCAGCAAGGGTTTGGGGGCTTTGGAGGTAGAACAGTCTATCTGAAATTAAACAGCTACCTAACATGGCCCAAGAGTGGACAGTCCTAGCTAATGGGCCAGTGGAGGAGCAGGAAAAAACGAAAGAACAACAAATAATTTTTAAAGGCTTTTTGGTTCAAATTTTTTAAAACATTAAACAAAAAAACCCATTTTGCTTTCAAATATAAAGCAACCAAACAGTTCCCAGTTGACAGCTATTCACCCAGAGATCACAAAGGTTCACAGACTTGATAATAATTATAACCAAGCAACTGTCTTATATCTCCTCTCACCCCTGCCAGGCCATACACATAAAATGCTTGTGAAATAACTTTTTAAAATCATAATTGCTCATTTGAAATGAATGGTGTGGATGGAGGGGTCAAAGCCGCCATGTATTCTCACACAAGCAAGCTTATCTCATTCTGTCTCAAGAACTGTTTCTCAATGGTAAACAGTCCTAACCCCAGTTTGCCTTTTAAATTCTGGCTTCAAAATGAAAGGATGTGTAAGCGAGAGGGGCTGGAGCCTTGCAAATTTGTATCTACCCTTGGAAATTAAACAACTGAAAACCCTCGTCCTGCTGATGGAACCCGGTACTGATCTTATTACTGCACACAAGTAAGGAGTGTGCAGAGGATATTTCAGAAAAGGACCACGCGCATCCTTCTTTTCAGGAAATGGTTTTGAGGCCTCGGTGCCAAGCTGCCTAGCATCTCCTTGCTCCAAGAATTAGCTCTGTGCCGCCAAGACATAATCACAGGCCTGAGGGTGGGTAGTTATTTTAATGTGCATTGGGGACCTATCAGAGATCTCACCTGATACAGAAGTAACCTTGTTCAGAATTTTGATCCGGGCTTTTTATTGGTGCATTGGTGCTGGTGGTCCAGGAAGAGGACACTTCTGGGCCCTCCGAGTGGTGTTCTGGTTCCTGCCTCCTGACTGTGTCCCCTCAGGCTGCTTGCTGGCCTGTTTTTCTCTGTCAGCGACCTAGGGCTGAGACACCTACCCTCCCTAATGGATGGGAGTAAAACCCAAAAAGATTAGTGGATCCAGCTAGAAGCAGGAGTGTTGCTTGTGATGGGGACAGATTCTCCCTTAAAGGAGCTCCAGGTTCTCACTGATCCTAGAACCCCACGTCTTTCATTCCAGGTACCCCAAACTGGCTGCAAAACACCGGGAATCCAACACAGCAGGCATTGACATCTTCTCCAAGTTCTCTGCCTACATAAAAAACACGAAGCAGCAAAACAACGCTGGTGAGTGAGTCCCTGCCACCAAGACCCCCTGGCAGCGCTGTCCCTGCCCAGGGCATCTCAGGTACTCGGGCCAGAGAGGCACCTGGGAGCAATGCTGCTTGTTGTTCCCCCACCCCATGTCCCCCTGGACACAGGGGAGGGGGCTGTAGATCCTGCCTTCTGGCTAGTGCAGGAGACAAGGCCATAGGCTTTACTGCTGGGTTGCAGGGAGGGATGCAGTGTGTGTTCCGAGCCAACCTTAGTGCGTAGAAGGGTCCCACCTCCGCGTGCTATGGTCTGTTTGTCCTAAATTCACAACCCTGCCTGTGTCCTCAGGAAGTCCTGTTGAAACAACAGCTTCCTCTGGTCCCTAAAAGACTTCTTGGGTGGTTGTCAGAGGCCATGGTGGGACAACGTAGTCACCTCCGTGGCGAATGCTGAAGGCAGAGCCTGGCCGGCTGCATTCTCCCCACTGCAGGTGCAGAGGGTGCTGGGAAGCCACCTCTCAAAGCCTGGCTCTCCCTCCATCTGGCCTTGGCTACAGGGCTCAGGGCTCGGCTCTCTTGGGCTGCTTCTCAGAGGGCTTTGACTGCCTCATTTAAGCTCACAGTACTTTCAGTCCCTCCTTTGGCATTGTCCTTCCAGAATTAACCAAAGTGATTCAAACAGAACTGTCAAATTGAGCATGCAGAGCACCTAAAGAACTGTTAGGCCCTAGAGAATAAAAGGAACACGGGGGAGAAAGTTTACTTGCCCTCTGAACGGGAGAGTGAATGAGAGAGCCATAGGCGGGAGCCTGGATGGAGTCTAGCACAGAGCCAGAATAAACACCTCGGGCGTCTCTGTGGGTGAATGGCCATCAGATAAACACACAGTGGACCGAAACCAGGTGGCACCTCACAGATGCTCCGGGGGCTCAGAGGAGAAAAGCGTCTCTTTAGACCAGAGATTTGCAACCACTGTGCCACAAAAATTTTTAAAACATGCAATATCTGACTATTTAGTGAGAGGTACTGACCTTGTTTCCCTTAGACTGTCAAATAGAAAAATGACAACCGTCAACACAGCAATAGCTGTCCTGTGTGAATGAGGCAAAATTGTATCTATTTTTTTGTTTGATAGGTTAAAAACATGTATTTTGGTGTGCCGCAGAATTTTAGTAATTAGTTTATGTGTGCCTTGAGATGAGAAAGGGTGAAAATCAGTGCTTTAGACCCAGGTGACCAGGAAAGGCAGCCAGGCGTGGCTGAAAGAGAAGAAATTTGGGCAGGCAGGCACACGGTTGGTGCAGCGGGAAGTAAATAAGCCGGCAAGAGTTACTGAGGACCTCGATAGTGCCAGGCACAGAACTAGATTCTAGAAAAATAACTAGAAAAAGACCCTCCCATTCTCTGAGGCCTGGTTGAGGCAGAAAAAAAGGCTTACATTCACAAAATGTCAAATAACAAGACAGGAGGTAAATGATGACTTAATTCAAAGGGAGTTTGAAGAGCTGATTAACTGTCGTGCGAAAAGGAGAAACAATATCTGCCAAAGGTGTTCAGAGCAGGAAGAATTTACCTTCAGGGACTTTGAGAAAGCTCCTTGAAAAAGTTCCAACTGGGCCATAAAAATTAAAAGGGAGTCAGTTGTCTGGAAGCATTGGGTGGATGTTGCAGGGAGGGTGGGGAAAGCCCAGCAACAGAGACCAGGAAAAGTGGTCAGAGCCTGCGGTGCCAGCCTGGGAGAGTGGATTTTATGGAAGGGGCAACGGCAGCCTTTAGAGGTGTATGAGGAGGTACTATACGGAGAGTGACCTTTTAGGCAACAGAAGAAGAAGGAGGTGGAAAATATTTTAAATATATCCAGCGTCCTTGTTTTTCTGCCTTTGGACCCTGTGATGGGTTGAGTAGTGTTCCCTACAAATTCATGTCCACCTGGGACTTCAGAGTGTGGCCTGATTTGGAAGTAGGGCCTTTGCAGATGTAATTAGTAAAGAGTCTTCAGATGAGATCACCATGGATTTAGTATGGTCCCTAAATCCTATGACTGGTGCCCGTATCAAAAGAGGAGAGGACACACAGAGACATAGGGCAGAAGGCCATGTGCAGACAGAGCAGAGGTTGGAGGGCGGCAGTCACAAGCTAAGGAGCCCTTGGGGCCCCCAGAGGCTCAAAGAGACAAGAAAGCCTTCGCCTCTAGAGCCTGGGGAAGGAGCGTGGCCCTGCCGACACCTTGATTTTGGACTTCTGGCCTCTAAAACTGAGAAGATAGATTTCCATGGTTGTAAGCCACCCAGTTTGTGGTGCTTTGCTGTGGCCATCCTGGGAAGCTCATGTGGCCCTTCACAGCCGTCGTGTGAAAGGACAGATACCTCCACTTTCCCAGCTGAGGACTCAGAGGCAAACGAGAGGACCAGGGGCTTGTCCCCGTGTCCTCGCCTCCCCTCAAACCCCGCAGGGCTGGCTCTCTGCTCTAGCGTTCAGATTCCACATCCAGCGCCCTTGCCTCTCAGCCACAAATATCTTCCTTCATGCTTGTCAAAGCGCCCTCAGAAAGTTTATCTCATCTGAGCTGTCCAGATTTTTCAAGTTATAAATGGTATTTACATATTATCCGAACTTACAGTCCTCCCGCCCCCAAAGCCAAAGCTATGGTTTCCACTGAGCATCGAGTATCAATTTCTTATAAATTCCACACTGGCCAACGTTCATTGTTTTCCCTTCTTCTGTTTCACCGTTTTTCTCCGCGATGGTTTTGCCCTTGTGATTCCTTCTCCCCCTCACTCATTTGCACATTTCCAAGCTCCTGCAGTTTTGCTTTCCCGGAGTCTGTCCCCAGATCAAAGTTCCTGGCGCTGTTCTCTTCTGCTTTTTAAGGAGACGCCACGTGTTTGTCCTTCAATGTAACCGTTGTAGCCCACTCCCGACCCTTCCCCTTCACTTTTCCTTCCCTGACCCCGTCGCCCCTGGTTATGGGCAAAGGGTCCAAGGGTTCTTAGGCTCAGCAGCCAGAGGTCAAGTGTCCTGCAGAAAGCAGCCATGGCCCTGCCCACAGCAGAGTCCCGAGTCCCCTGAGGCGGTCCACACCCCCTCTCTGCCCCGAGGAGGGACAGCGCAGCACTGGGCTTAGATTTGGCTACAGGAGGCCCTGCTCTGGGCCCCGCACATCACTCGTTCCATCTAGCAAGGAAAAGGGATGTCGTTTGTTCAGTATTGAAGATCTGGAGTGTTCTGAAGCAGGATTGCGGGAGGGTTCCAGCTTCGTCCATCCCACCGTGGGCCCCTCTGTAACCTGCCCGGACTAAGGCTGTCAGCCCTGCCCTCGCCCTGCATCCCGCCGCCTCGCGTGCTGCTCGGCCACAGCAGCCTGGCTCCACCGTGGGCAGCGCTGGTGGCCTCTACCTCTAACGTCCTCCGGTCTCTCTGCGAGTATCGCTGTAGCAAACCCCCGCATCCTGCCACTGCTCCTTGAACGTTCCTCTGAGGTGCCACCGTGTCACACAGACCCCAGGTCACCCAAGACCCAGCAGCCAGCCCCAGACTCAGCAGCTCCGGGTCTCCACGCTCCCGGGCACACACTTGCTCTGTCACTCTGCCCTGGGACATCAGTTTGGGTCCCCAGTGTATCCCTTCCCTTGAGGAGTTTCTTTTACACTCTACTTGGACATGTCACCGCCACTCTCTGTCATATAAGAGGACCTGGGCTTCTTTCTCTGAATATCCATCTTATATTTTGCATTTCTTACCCTCAAACTGCCATTTGAATAGACTCTGAAAGTCTCTGGCAAACCCCTTGGTGCTCAAGAACTTCATTTTTGCTACTACTTACCCCAATCTGAGCATAAAATACTGTATTTTATTTTATTTTTCACACTCTTTTACCTTATACTTTAAACCTATGAGTTCTACTGGTTTATGTCACTTTTTGTACATAGTATATGTTCCAGGCAATTAACAAATCGATTTAATTAATGTGCTGCTTTAGTTCTTTATTCTTCCTTATTATTTTTACAGCGCCTTTAAAGCTGCTTCTAACCCTATCGCATGTCCCCCAGATACAGCTGCTACTCCAGCATCCAGAGCTTCTCCTGCTCGACTCACACTCGAATATTCCCTCCGTCAACCTGGTGCACACGCCCACTCCCACGGGGCTTGCTTTCCCCTTCTCGGATGTCTGAGAAGCCCCACACCCAATCTCTTATCTGATCCATCTGTCCTATGCAGCCCTGTGACTTTCCCCTCGCATCTGTATTTTCCCTCTTTTAACGCACGTAGCGCACATACATCTCAACCTGCTAGCACCACGTCTTTCTGTGCTACGCGGTGTTTGTCCCAACTTGGAGGATTTGGGGGATTTCGAGCCTTCCTGGGAATTCCATCTCTTCGCCCTTGAAGTCTAGCTTCCTCTCCAATTCCCGTCTCTGTATTCCTGCCTCGTGGGCCTTCTTTCTGTTTTCAAATTTATACTCCGCTTGTGCCAGAAGGACTTTATAGCCGCTCACAGGGACACATAAAGCAAAGCAAAGCAACCTTCACTAGCGGGAGGTGAGAAAGAAAAACAAGGGGGGACCATAAAACGCAGCTCCGGGTGAGCCGAACAGTAACAGCAGCTCCCAGGGCCTCGATCGACAAACAGCTGACCACAAATCTGGCTCTCAACCCGGCAGACAGGAGGGACCCCCGCCGCTACATTCGGTTCTCCAGAAGACAAAAATAAACCAACCTCCCAGAAAAATGACAGGTATTCCTGATCTGGGGCCTTGAGTCGTAGGCACGGAGGAGCTGTTATTTTCATTTCTTTGGCCTTTCCCTTCCATGACTTCCCTTCCCGTTGTCTGTAGACTCCAGGCGAGTGACTTCCAGCTGATGTGACTTCTCCCCATTGTCCCCCTGCAGGCACTGTCCTCACCTGGCACTCCCCTCCACCCTTCACCTGTGCCCTGTCTGACCCTGAAAGCCATTTCTCCTCTTTTTCCTCCCCATCTTCTCTCGAAGACCCGTGAGACCTCCCTGCGGCCTCGGGCCGGTGTCACCAACTTT